GAAGGAGGGGGGAGGAATAAACGGAGAATCTACACGTGGATCGCACGGGGGGAGGTCGGGAGAGGTTGAATTTACGAGATAGCCGCCCTCCAACCCCCTCTTCTCACGGCCCTCCTACCTTGCTCCGCCGGTTCTGTCCTCAACAGGTGGTCGTTTTGCTCAACTTCTGTACACCAATTTATAATTTAATTGATTTATGCCCGCGTTTTTTTTATACGAACGGCTTCCCGTTCGATCTACGCCTCGAACCATTTTAATTCTTCCCTTCCTTATCGATCGAGAAGTGAAAATTTTTCCTTCCCGATGAACATATTTCGATAAATATCTATTTTATTTCTTTTGCGAATGAGAACAATCATGCTAATCACGACCCATAATTAAAATAATTTAACTTATAAACGTAATTTCGAGACGATAACAATAGAATAATAGAAAGCAAAAAGAAAATAGAAAATAAAATTAAAAAATAGAAGAAAATAAAAGAATAGTAAAACGTAGCGATATGTTAAGGTTCAAACGTGATTTTAGAGGAACGTTTGTCGAGAAAGCGGGTCGAATCGATCTTCTTAGTACTTCGACCTTGAGGAAAGGCTTGCGAATCCGTGGCGAAAATGCAAAACCCTTCCTTTTGTCGCGCTTGATGATCGAGTTTTCGGCGCAGCTCGCCCGACAACTCGCAAATATCGGGCGAAAGGGTTCGAAACTCATAAATCACGAAATCTTCTTTTCTCTCCAAAATTTCTTTGCATAATTTATTGCCTAGGCAAAGGAACAAAGGATCGCGTTCGAAATTCGTATTTGCACGTATCAAGTTAATTTACAACTCGGAAAGAATATATTAAAAATAAATTGTCGGAAAGAGCGGTGAGAGATGTTGTTGCTCTTCCTCCCTCGTGAACGGGCAGGGGTGGAACGCCAGGGGTGGAGTAGTTTTATCGACGTAACATCGGTGAATTAAAGCCGGCTTATCAAGGAATCGGATCAAATTGCCAAAGAAAACAAGCCCTTCCTCCTTCGATCCAACTTTAAAGTTGGACGAACCCGATTACGTGCAGCCACCTAAAAAAAAAAACTTTCCTCTATTTCACTCTGTAATCGCTCTTCGTCTCGCCCCATCGATCCCTATTTCGTATTCTAAATTTAGAGCAAAATTTTAATTTCGCCTTCAATTCACCACCACGATGCATTAAAATAGGCAGAGTCGTCAAAAATTTCGAACAAAGCGATTAAAAACCCTTTTGAATTTTTCAAAATTAATTGCAAATTATTTGCGAACGATAAATAAATTATCCAACTAACTATTAAATTTTTCCCCTCTGAAGCATAGAATCCTAATAAAAGAATTCTAACAACTCGAAAATTTCTTTAATAATTTCTTTTATTATTTTTTTATATATTCCGTTCGATCTACGAACCATTTTAATTCTTCCTTATCGATCGAAAAGTGAAAATTTTTCCTTCTCGATGAATAAAGTTCGATAAATATCTATTTTATCTATTTCTTTTACGAATGAAACGGTAAGAATAACCCATAATTAAAATAGTTTAACTTATAAACGTAATTTCGTAAGTTCGAGACGAAAGAATAATAGAAAGCAAGAAGAAAATAAAAAAAATAGAAAAAAATAGAAAAATAACAGAATAAGTTAGACGAATAATAATAAACCATGAAAAAAAAGAATCAATAGACAAAAATCAGTTTCAACACTTTCTAAAAATTAGCCCTACCTCGAAGCCCAACCAAATAGACCAAAGATCCTCAACTTTCCCCCGGAACAGAGGCAACTCAAAATTCAATGAACAAAAGCTCAGAGGAGGGA